ATAATATATATATATATATATATATATATATGTAATTGTAATATTAATAACTCTTCTAACATATTTATTACAAAACAAATATTAAATTACATATAAGATAAATCAAATGCTTAATAAATTTGCTATATAACAAATCACATATTATACACATAATAAATTTAATGTGATTTAGTTAAACTTAACATTAAAATAATAAATAATACTTAAGCAGGTTGGTGCAATAATACTTAAACAGGTTAGTGCTAGGGATGACACGAGTTTTACTATCATGTCCCTGTTCTAGCTCCCCATATTCGACGGGAATGAGATTTGTGTCCTCATCATCATTCCATCAGGATATCAGATATACCTGTATCCACTTAAAAATTAATTTTTTTTAAAGAAAAAGAACTTCAATATAAAGGAACAATTACAAAATTATATTTAATTAAGTTTTATTTGACATAAATTTAAAAATAAAATAAAAATTACTAAATGTCAAGTAATCTTTTTTTAAAAATAAGTTTCTAGAAATTCAAAGCAAGTATAAATATGGATACAAGTACAAGACAAATATGTATATACTCATCTTTATCCCAGTACCTAATTTAATAATCGAGCATTATTTATTTCTGTATTCATACTTATATTTAATCAAACTAAATATTTTTCATCAAAATCAGAATAAATTTGAATATTATCCATAAATATTCATCTCCACTTATCACTTGACTTGACGAGTTAATAAATTAGTCGAGATAGATTATACATACAAATTGACAAATTAGAAAGCCTAACCCGAGTAGGGACTGTCCATTTTGCCACTCCTAACCAAAATTTATTCACATTGGGTTAGAAATGCAGGTTAAAATTGGCCAATTTTTATGAAAAATCGGTAACCGATGAATCAATATCCGCACGTTATGATAGATAACATGTTACTACTAACTAAACAAAAAATAGCTTGTCAGGTTTTACAAATATTTTTTTTTAGTAAAGATAGGAAAAATTACAAATATATTATTTTATATACATTAATATTACAAATAAAAATAAATAAATAAATAAATAAGCGTTATGATATAGGTGACATTCAAACCTACTTCCTTTAGGTTAGGGAAAAGGTCCATTAGCCACCAGTCTAGATAGGTCTAATATTTTATATGTTACAATTATATTATATAGATATACAATTATTTTTCTATTTTTATCTTAAATTATATTACCTATAATTTTTTTTATTTTTTTAATATAAACCGGTTTTATTGGTTTAATAAATGAATTTTTTAGTTTACCACTAAACCATCAAACAATTACCTAACTTGATTCGATTTTTATAAGACTAGGTTAGTATTATTACATCCTTTTTATGTCTATTAAATTCAATATCTTTGAAATTTATTGTATTATTTAACCCATTAATAATATTTATAAGACTAGGTTAGTATTACTACATCCTTTTTATGTCTATTAAATACAATATCTTTGAAATTTATTGTATTATTTAACCCATTAATAATATTTATATCACTTTTTTCTACATGTGGCATGTTACTTCACAAAAAGATACCAATAATAAAATCACTACAAATGATAAAGTTCTTCTTCCGAATATTTACTAATATATTCAATATTCAAATTCAAAATCATTAGTTGAATTGTAAGCTTCAGTTCATCGATATGTATATTTGATGATAGTATTTACTACTTAGATAACATTTGAAACAATATTAAAATTTTAAGCCTCCATATTTTGAAAAGAATTTTACAAAATAATTCAAACTTTTTTTGAGTTAAATTAGATTACAATTTAATACTTTCAAACAAAAGAAACATGAAAAAGCTAAATCACTTCACTCCTACAACAAGAACGATCTAGTAAGAAAGAATGAGTTATCCTCTCTCATCAATGAAGTTATATATTACAATTTAATATTTTCAAATATGAGAAAGATGGAAAAATTAAATTAGGACTCTTAATCCTATTTGGATGGCAGATACATGTTTACTTGAATAAAGCCTTCATCAATCCAAATCTAACGTGGAGATTCTTCTTATATATATATATATATATGAGAAGGGTTCAAACGACACCGATATAACTTTTACTAAAAGTTACACCGTTCAATAATTTTATATTAATTGTGAATTTTGTAAATCCAACAGTTAGATTGAAAGTTCTTTACTCTTAGATCATATATACAAAATTTTATATTAATCCAAGATGATTTGATACTTCATTCTTACAAAACAAAATTGACGTAATATATTCATTTCAAAATATACTAAAATATAAACACTTTGATTACCTTTGAGTTGTTATTCAATTTTAACAAAATTTGATATACACATATAAAGTGATATGAATTTTTGATATAACGGTTGAATTTACAAAATTCACAATTAATATAAAGTTATTGAGTGGTGTAACACTTAGTAAAAGTTATTTTCTCTTTCTTATTAATTTCATTCTCCAATTCATTTCTTTTTTCTATTAATTAATTTTTATTTGTTCAGAGAGAGAGGGAAGACATCATGAGAATAGAGAGAAATGAGTTAAAGAAGAAATTTAATAAGAGAGAGATAAATAAGTTGGAGAAATAATTTAATAGGAAAGAGAAATGAGTTGGAGAAAGAATTTAATAAGAGAGATAAATGACTTAGAGAATGAAGTTTTTTTTTGTTCGTTCCTAGAGTATCCACCAAATCAAAAGAAATGAGTTATTTTTTTATCTTATTTAATAAGAGAAATAAATGACTTAAAGAATGAAGTTAATAAGGGAAAGAAAATATTTTTATTTTTATTTAAAATTAAATTAAATTACTATAATATCTTTTATACAAATTAACCAAATCAAAATAAATGAGTTATTTTTTTATCTTATTGATTGTTTAGTTTTTTCCTTAAGCTGAATGATTAGAAAATAGAAAGTTGTCGGTGGGCGATATTTGGATGTAGAACTTTTGGACTTTTGATCATGCCAACAAAGATATATTGATTGTGGTTGGAAATTTAGCATTTCATATCTCTATTGCGTTTTAAAATTTCTAATATAATAGTTGAATGTTGAAACTTGAATTGCCTAACATAACAAATAGGGGCGAGGATGGGCTTGCAATTTCAGGAAATTTTTAAACAAATTAGTAGAATTGCTTATAAATAAAATAATTTCTGATAATTTAACTTATAGATAAAATAATTTCTGAATAATTTTGAATAGAAAATTTATTTATTTATTTGTTATTGTTTAAATTACTATAAATTGTTAATACAAGTAATTTAATATTTATATATTTTAACTAAAATTTAAAGTTTAATTTTTAATTTAAATATAAAGTCGTTATTAAAAATATTTTTTATTTCTAGATAAACTTAATAGAATTTAAAGTTTAATTCTTAATTAAAAGATGAAATTATGATTGAAAATATTATTTTATTTATAAATAAACGTAGAAGGGATTTATATCTTCTGGTTATAAGTAGAAAATCTATATCTTTCTTTAAATTACATTATATATATAATTCAAAAGCAAATTAAAGTCAAAAGATAGG